AGTAGAGGACCCACTGACTGCATTTGAAGAGGGAGGTAGGATTTTGTTTGAACAAAGAACCTGGGGCTACCAAACAAGTCGAAAAAATCGCCCTCATTAATTCTTTTCCAAAAATGTCTTGGTTCGTCTCACTCTCTACTCTTCGACATTAACTTGAGAGTCCACTCATCAAACGTTAAACCAGTCTTGTCCCCTAAACTGGAATTTTATTTGAGAAACCAGGTGTCTCTCTCCACTTTCCAATCTGATACGGCCTTCAGTATATTGTAATGGTCTTTTCCACAGAGGTCCTTCAGAGTTCCTTGTTCCTCAATACGACTTTGAACGGGCTCTGACCTTTTTGCCATAATTGAAAAAAAAAATCATTATCGTGGGATATGCCACTGCTATGTGTGTGTGTGTGTGTGTGTGTGTGTGTTTTAATATATCATCACAAAAGATTTCACCGAACTCTCAACGTTACCCTGGTTTTTTGGATTAGACGTACAAGTGGTTACAAATTCTCCCTCTTTCTGTAGTTACTCTGCACGTTTCTTTACCCTGTCTGAACATCAGAACTGCCGTCTTAGAACATTCCAGCAGCCCTGGTTTACTGGTCTCCTCTTAATATGGGTCCTCTAGGCTCAGGGAACTAGTAAGGACACAGCAGCTACGTGAGATGGTGCTTTTGCTGTCATAATACAGGCAGACTCAGAGCTTGTTAGAATTTAAATAGCATTAAAGTCGCCAATAAAGTGAGCAGAGAATCTGTGGTCAGTCACCTGCTGAACCACCTGAAAGGAAGCAAATGACACGTCTCAGAACAAGACACTCTTGCTAAAGGCTAGAGTCTAATTCTGACCAATAAAAGATAAACAGGCAAAGCAACTTGGAGAAGGCGCAGCACTGAGGCCGGTGTGAAGTTAATTACTATTGTCGGTGTTAGAATACAATTGCTTTCTGCTGGGCGAGTCCGGAAGAAGAGGAACGCACCAGCTCTGCCTGGGCGGAAAGTTTCCCTAAACTCACTGCTGGCCTTGGGCCAGTTATGCAAACCCCTCTCTGTGCCTCAGTGTCCTCATCTGTAAAATAGGAGTAACGGTGTTACCTACTTCCTATGGTTTGTAAGCAGCAAATGAGTCATTATTCGCCATCAGTATTTAAGTAAATACAACGCTAGCTGTGAATGAGGTGCAGGTGTTTGGCCCGTGTAAGGCACAATGTTACAAGAGAATTCAGGGGGCACGAATCTAAATCTTATGTATCTAGTCACCATTTACCAAGGGGAATGGGAGTTAGCTCTTGTCCCAGAAGAACTCCAGTTCTCCCCGCTCCCCCGCTGCCTTCCGGCTCCAGGCAGCATGGCTCTGCCCTTGGCCTTCAGCTCAGAATGCACAGGCTGCACGTGACCCCTTGCGCAAAGCAATACGTAAGCCGGTTAAACCGTTAGAATCGCAATATTAACCAGAATCGGAAGTCATGGGGCTCTGGCAGGAGTATGCGGGAGTAACCAGGTTACCTTCCTAGAACAAGAGGCCCGAACTTGGCCACAGTTACTTTCTTCCAGGTACCCGTCACTTCCTACTTGCGACTCTGATCTAGATGTGCAACCTGAATTTCACAGGCCAGATAAGGGGGTATGACTGTGTCTCCCAAGAATGGTATTATGCAGGAGAAGCTCCTGGACTTCTCTTTTTGGGTCAAGGGGCTCTCCTATGGTATAGGCTTTTGAAAAAGAAGAAACGATCTGCCATCGTGGGGCAACTAAGAGTATTAAAAAGATGAAAATATTCAGAGATTCCAGCTCTAATATTCTATGATTGTTTAAAGTATATGTCCTACATTTAGAATAAAACACCATAGAACTATCTTTGTCTTTTGAAACTTTTATCTCTGGAAGAAGGCAAAGGGGTATAGGCAGTGGAGACCGGGAGAAATCTGGGGGGAAAGGGTGGGGGAGGGGCTGTCCAACTTCTGGTGGCCACAGATGGGCACTTCCAAGGGGCCTGAGCTAAATGTTCATGTTGGCTTAATACTATCCAGTAAGGTAATGATAAAAAGGGACTTTAGTGAAGCCTCGAAAACAATACGCAAAGTGAGGTAAGCCAGACACAGAAGGCCAAATATTGTATGGTCCACTTACAGGAGATCTCCGGAATGGTGAAACTCACAGACACAGGTCGATTGGGGGGGGCCCCCGGGGGGGGGGGGGGGGGGACGGAGACTCAGTGTTTCATGGGGACAGAGTTTTAGTTTGGGGAAGAAGAGAAAGTTCTGGAAACGGTGATGGCCGCATCTGAAGTGTGAATGCACTTAAAAACGGTTAAGTTGAGAAACTCCGTTAGGTGTATTTAACCACAACTTTAAAAATAATGGCTAGAAAAATCCTAGTTACTCTGTTTATGCAAGTATCACAAAAGGAGGAAGCAGGAGCGTCAGTGTGGAGTGTTTCCGAGAAAACAGAGGTTGGATGCTGTGAGGTCCAGCAGTCTCCACGCGAAACTGGACGCGCGAAACGTTTGGAAATCCACGTGGAAGAAAGCTTCCAAGTATGTGACCAGCACACGTCTGTTTTATTTAAAAAGAAAAAATTTTTTTAATGTTTATTTTTGAGAGAGAGAGAGAGAGAGAGAGAGCATGAGCAGGGGAGGGACAAAGTGAGAGAAGGAGCCTTAGATTCTGAAGCAGGCTCCGGGCTCTGAACTGTCATCACAGAGCCCGACGCGGGGCTCGAACCCACAAGCTGTGAGATCATGACCTGAACCGAAGTCGTACGCTCAACCGACCGAGCCACCCAGGTGCCCCATCACGCACGTCTGTTTTATTTTTTTTTTAATTTTTTTTTCAACGTTTATTTATTTTTGGGACAGAGAGAGGCAGAGCATGAACAGGGGAGGGACAGAGAGAGAGGGAGACACAGAATTGGAAACAGGCTCCAGGCTCTGAGCCATCAGCCCAGAGCCTGACGCGAGGCTCGAACTCATGGACCGTGAGATCGTGACCTGGCTGAAGTCGGACGCTTAACCGACTGCGCCACCCAGGCGCCTCTCGCATGTCTGTTTTAAAGCCATCTCCCTGCTGTGAGCTCTCCACAGCTACAGTTCAGGGACATAGAAAGATTTAAGTCATCATGACCCTACGTGAATTTTCAGACACCATTGGCAAAATAAGAACACTTAGGACTGGCAGGATGGCTTTCCATGTGGACAGCTGCTAATTTAATTAAAAAGAAAAAAAAAAAAAGGCAAGGGGCGCCTGGGTGGCTCAGTGGGTTAAGCGTCTGACTTTGGCTCAGGTCATGATCTCGAGGTCCTTGAGCTCAAGCCCCAACGTCAGGCTCTGTGCTGACAGCTCGGAGCCTGGAGCTGCTTCAGATTCTGTGTCTACCTCCCTCTCTGCCCCTCCCCTGCTCACGCTCTGTCTCTCTTTCACTCTCTTAAACATAAACAAACATTAAAAAAAAAGTTTGTTTTTTTTTTTTAAAAGGCAGGCATCAGGCAGATACTGCTTGCGTTAAGTCTCGCATTTAAGCCATTTTAGCATGTGAAAGCAATGCGCAATAGTAAAAATCTGGGTTAATCAGATTCATAGAAACAGAGCGAAGGGCGGGTGCCAGGGGCTGGGGGAAGCAGACAGGGAGTCCCTTAGCTGGGACAGGGCTTCAGTTTGGGAAGATGAGAGTTCTACAAGGTACCGACCGCCACTCAACCGTAAATAGGGAATTGTGCGTGAGGCATATTTCCCCACAGTAACAAATAATTTACGTTAAAGTTTTACGTGAGAAGAAAATGGCCAAGTCAGCCTTGGCATGTCCGCTTTACGGCAGCCTGTCCAGCTATAAAAATGGTGTTTACGACAAGTGTGAATAAAATGCGAAATGCTACAACACGGTGTGTAACACACACCCGTGCACGCACGCACACACCCATAACAGTCACGAGAAAATAAAAAACCACAAAGACCCTAAGGAAATACATCGAAACAGACGCCTTGTCTTCATGTCATCAGGAGGACGCTGAAGACTTTTTGTTTCTTTTTGCTGATTTTTTTTTTGATAAACACGTACTACTTTAAAAAAAAATTTTTTTTTAAGTTTATTTTTTGAGAAAGAGAGAGAGAGAGAGAGAGGGAGGGGCAGAGAGAGAGAGGGAGTGAGAGAGAATCCCAAGCAGGCTCTGTGCCATCAGCACAGAGCTGCGTGCAGGGCTCCAACCCACAAACTGTGAGATCATGACCTGAGCTGCGATCAAGAGTCAGACACTCAACAGACCGTGTGTCACCAGGGGCCCTGAGCACGTACTACTTTTTAAAGGGGGGGAAAATAACACAAAGTTCACTTTCTTCCATTAGTTTGTTTGAAAAGAAAGGAAGGAAGAATGGAAAGAAAAACCTTTATGTCCTGTGTTCCAAGAGGCTTTCAAACCCAAGGGAACCCAATGAATTGGGCTGGTGACCACTTCGACTTCTTCCCTGTTTTTTGTGACATGGATGCCTCCGGCACGCCGGTGAGGGCCTGTGGCCGCTCTCAGAATCATATATTTTTTTAAAGTTTTAATGCTTATTCATTTATTTTTGAGAGACAGAGTGTGAGCAGGGGAGGGGCAGAGAGAGGAGACGCAGAGCCTGACGTGGGGCTCGAACTCATGGACCTCGAGGTCATGACTTAAGTAGGACACTTAACCCACGGAGTCACCCACATGCCCCCCAGAATCATATTTTTAAATGCTTAAAGCAAAGAATAGAGGGTTACAAAGGAAGTCGGTTATTCTGAAATGCATTGTCAAAATGTATTTTTATCTTTTTATGATTATTGTTTTAGGTTTATTTATTTATTTTGAGAGAGACAGAGACAGCGTGAGTGGGGCAGGGGCAGAGAGAGAGAGGGGGGGAGAGAGAGAGAATCCCAAGCAGGCTCCACGCTGTCAGCACAGAGCCTGACGCGGGGCTCGAACTCACAGAGCCACGAGGATCACCACCTGTGCCGAAACCGAGAGTCGGATGCTTAACCGACCGAGCACCCAGAGCCATCATGTTAACAGAAGCACTGAGTTCAGGGGACCCTCTGGCTGGGTGCTGGGTGACTGAGAAAGGGAAGGGGCTCAGGTAACTTGGGGCAGTGACCTGGGGACCCCTGGGGCTGGCTGACCGCACTCCAGGGCGTGCCCGCACCTCTGGGCGGGGTGTTTTGGAGTGTGACAGGGCTCCCAGATGGGGGTTTCTGAGAGTCAGCCTGACAAACACTGGGAGCTGAGCCCTGAGGCCGTTGCTGGGAGACGCAGGGAAACAGGAAGTGGCGGGAGGAGCCCCACAGGCCAGGGAGGAAGGAGGGCTAGAGCTGCACTGACAGCACACAGCATTGGGAGTGCACTCGGTGACAAGAGATCGTGTCTGTCACGATGCTGGCACAGCGGTCTGTCCTCTCCCCAGCTGTCTGCAACCGCGGTGATGTGACATACAGACAGCAGGGTTTCTACTGGTGACAAAGTCACAGACACCTGTGACACCACCCCAGCGTCTGGCCTGCATTCACACTGGAGGTAACGCTGTTCTTTTTTCCTGTCCAATTTCAGGGGGGTCTCTTGACATCTAACCGAAGGCCCTCGGGGGATCCGTGGACCCAAGGTTGAGGAGCTTTCCGGGTCTTTCCAGAGGTCAAATACAGTTCTTTGTCTTCTTTAATTTTGCTTTAAAGAAATCATACAACTGACCATCGACGCCAGCTTTCTTTTATGCTTCGAGAAACTAACAACAGCAACAATAATGCAACTTCGTTGTATAGATCTCTTTGTATATGTATCTTTGTATATGTCTCTCATGTAACTGATACCGTCAACCACTCCTGCAAACAGCAAATAACAATCTTGGCATTTTATTGATCGTATTATACCTATTCCTGAATGCCACAGAAAATAAAGAAAGAGAATGAACAACCACGTGGTGGAGGTGGGTCGTTTTGGATTCCTGGCTGGTGTTCAGAGTGATTCCTGTCATGCCTCTTGCTCCCTGGGCCTGGTCGGCTCCCCCACTTTGACCGTGACCGAGGTGTCCCCGGCACCAGGTCTATGTTCCTGCTCCCGACTTCTCCAAGCTTCAGTCTACCTGCCCGCAGCTGGATGTCCCAAAGGCGTCTCAAACTCGTCACATCCAAAGCAGAACTCCTGTGGTCTCCTAGACTCTTTCTCTGGCGTTTCCCCTCCGTGGGGGCGTGACCAGCCAGCGTTCCCTTTATCGAACGTCTCTGAGCCTCGGTTCCGCCGTCCGTAAAGGAGCAGCGACAATGGCACCAACCTTATGGGGCTGTCAAAAGGACTAAAGGAGACGACACCTGCAGGGTGTGGGCGCGGAGCCTTGATGTCCTCCACACCTCCCCCCCGCCCCAACCCCTGCTGTCGGCCTTCTTCTCAAAGACCACACTCCCCCTGCTCCGGCTTCAGTTCGGCATCAGCCGGCTGCCGTTTTCACTGCCGTCTCGGTGCCCTCCCACGGCCCCTGCCTCGTACCGGTCAGGCCTCAGGGGGTCTCCCCCGAGTGACTGGTGATCCCAAACAGCCCCCCAACGTTGCTGCCCGTGCGATCCCATTCCTTCGCTCGTTCATGGATGGAGGGCCCGCTACACATCACACACCAAGCCAACCGTGGTGTAGCAGTGACAACAGGCGGTCAACATTCCAGGGGGAAGACTGGCATTAAGTAAGTGCACAAGCAAGGAACCAGTTCTAACTGTGATACGTGCCCTGACATTGCACAGAAGCGTCCCTGCACCCTGCCAGGCTCGGGGGTTGTCAACAGGAAACGTTGGCTTTGGGCCTTTGAGGAAGTAAGAAGGGATTACAGTGACCAGGGAGCAGGTTAGCCCTCTAGCGAAACCTTTGCCGGCCTTCCTTTGGAGGAGGGGTGAAGTCCGAACTCCTCCCAGAGGTCTGTCCAGCTCTCCTGGAGGTGGCCCCCGCCTCCTGCCACAGCCCCTCCCACGGCACAGACCAGTGACAGGTGAGCCTGTGGTGCCTCCTGGTGGCGACTTCGAGCCTTGGTGAGTCCATCCCCAAGTTTCTTTCTTTCTTTCTTTTTTTTTTTTTTTTTTACTAAAGCAACTTAACAAAAATTTAAGTGTTGGTAATCAAAGAGGCCCCAACCCTCGGCTGAAGAATTTAACGACCTAATCCACGTCAGAGTTTTATTTAATATACAAGCAAGATCACTTTTTTTCTGACTTGTGCACTGAACATACGTGCATTGGTAAGTCTGTTCTTCATCTGAAGAGTTTGGACATCTCCACCATATGGTAACGGGATTCCATCATGCTCTAGGAGGAACGGAAAAATACTGCTGCTTATTAAAGACGCTGAAAGTCAGTATTTTGTGGTTTATCTACACAATACTTGAAGAGACAAGAGGAATCGCATGGAAAGGTTTAGAGTTTTAAGCTCCTCAGGGAAATATTTTAACAATATGTATCATCCATTTTTAGATTTTTGTAACATATTGATTTCAGTGTATGATAGTTACTCTCGCAGAATAGCCAGGATAATAAGCCAAATTTAGAACGATTAAACTTAAGTCAATATATTTTTTTTAAGCACACCACACCCCCAATGTGGGGCTCGAACTCATGACCCCGAGATCAAGAGTCACACACCCGGCAGGTGCCCCAAGTCAGTATTTTTTTAAGGGCAAGATAAAATTTGAATTTCAGGGGTGCAGAAAATCCTCTGCTTTCCTATTTTGAACAATGGATATGATATCGGATACCTAAGAATTTTAATCATTTATTATACCCGATTTTTTATTTTTCAAATATTCAGTCTTCATTGAACACAAAAGTCTAACTCTCTGGCGTAAGAATTCCAGGCTCCATCTGTTTTAAGAAGCTTCATTTTGGGGGCATCTGGGTGGCTCAATGGGTCGAGCGTCCGACTTCGGCTCAGGTCATGATCTCACAGTTCGTGGGGTCAAGCCCCGCGTCGGGCTCTGTGCTGACAGCTCGGAGCCTGCAGCCTGCTTTGGATTCTGTGTCTCCCTCTCTCTCTGCCCCTCCCCCACTCCCACTCTGTCTCTCTCCCAACGATAAATAAACATTAAAAAAATAAATAAATATGCTGTCAGACTGGTCAGTTACATGACTGAAATACAATGAGCTTAGAGGTTGAAGACGTTTGACAAGAAAATCAGGTACACACGCATGCACAGATACACACACGCGTGCACGCACACAGGCATACAAAGCCGGGACAGTACTGACCGGCCTACGGAGCTCCGGGTGGGCTCCAGCCCCTGGCCAGCCCCTCCCACGGGGCAGGGACACTGGGGGCAAGGTGGGACAAGGAGCTGGTGTGCTGCTCAGAGAAGCCCCTGGGCCCCAGCAAAGCCCTCGCTCCCTGTGCGCCCCCAGCTCTTCCTACTACGCCTCGGTCGCTGCGGGAATATAAAAGACTCCGCATAAATTCTGTCCTTGTCAGGTTCGCCTCCGATGGCAAAGTGTCTGACTTCAGCCAGCCTCCAGTGAGGCTGGACAAAAACAAGAGCGCACAGCGTGTATCAGCTTCATCCAAAGTCTGACGTGCTTTACTGGGGTTATTTCTGCCAATAGCTCCATCGGGAGAAAAGATCGCACTGTCCACCCTGATAACACTGAGGACAAGGACACCAAAGCACAGACAGAGAGGCTTGCGGGGGTCCTGCGGCTGGTGGGCAGCAGAGGCGGACCCGAACCCAGGCGCGGTGTGGATGTCGCTGCACGCGCCTCCCCGTGGGACGCTGGCCGCTGGCTCACGCAGGTGCCGTGTTTGGTCTCAGCGACGCCTCGGCAGCCCTGAAAGGTCACCGTCGCTGCTCCCGTGGCATCGTGGTGAAAAAGTGAGGCTTGGGGTTGAGTGATGGCCTCAAGCTGGACTGTCCATGGTCCTGACTCCCACCCCATCCCTGGCCACTGTCGGACAAATGTTTTCCCCTCTTTCTTTCTTTTTGAAAAAAACTTTTTAATTACATTTATTTATTTTTGAGAGACAGAGGGAGACAGAGCATGAGCGGGAGAGGGGTGGAGAGAGACGGAGACACAGACTCCAAATCAGACTCCAGGCTCTGAGCTGTCGGCACAGAGCCCGACGCGGGGCTCGAACTCACGGACCGCGAGATCATGACCTGAGCTGAAGTCGGATGCTTAACCGACTGAGCCACCCAGGGGCCCCTGTTTTTCCCTCTTCCTTAAAACCACAGCCAGAAGGGGCCTCCAAACACCCGCCAGCCTGGTCACTGCTCCCATCAGGAGATGTCATTATTCCAGTCTTGACAAGTGACCAAAGGCCCCGTGGCCAGGCTGACTCACCAGTGTGCCAGGACGCAGGCTTCCTAGAACACAGTGACCTCCATTTCAACAATACTGCTCTCGCCCTCCCAGCTGTGTTACAATGACGGCAAACAGCTTTATTTGGGACATTTCAGACTTTTTCCTTTCTGCGAAACACCCAATTGAGAAGTCATCCTTAGAGTATGCGTTACTTTTTCCCTTTTAGGATTATAACCGCCCGCCGCCTCCGTCAGTTGTCCAAAAGCAGAGAAAACCTGCCCTCCCTGCTGGGCTGAGTTAAATGACTCGGTGCCCAGTCTCTTCCAGACTCTCCCGGTCTCCTGCCAGAGGCCGGCTCAGGCTGACTCTCGAGGAGGCCGCGTGCGACCCCTCGTCAGGTGAACACATCTCGCGCACGGCGGGCATGAGGGAGACCCGGTGGGCTTCCGCTCTTCGGCAGCTGTGTCCTAGGGAGCCGTGGGCTGGAGTAGCCAGCTGCGTTTCAGGAGATCGTGTTGTTTTTAATTTCTGTTTTTAAACGTTTATTTACTTTTGGGAGACGGAGAGACACAGCACAAGCAGGGGAGGGGCAGAGGGAGGGAGAGAGGGAGACACAGAATCCGAAGCAGGCTCCAGGCTCCCAGCTGTCAGCACAGAGCCCGACGCGGGGCTCGAACTCACGGACCACGAGATCATGGCCTGAGCCAAAGTCGGACGCTTAACTGACAGCCACCCAGGTACCCCAATGTGTGTTTATTTTTTAGAGAGAGAGAGAGAGAGAGAGTGAGTGGGGTAGGGGCAGAGAGAGAGAGAGGGAGACACAGAATCCGAAATGGGCTGCAGGCTCCCAGCTGTCAGCACAAAGCCCGATGCGGGGCTCGAACTCATGGACTGTGAGATCATGACCTGAGCCGAAGTCAGCCACTTAACCGAATGAGCCACCCAGGCGCCCTGTTTGATTTATTTTTGAGAGACAGAGAGACAGAGTGTGAGTGGGAGAGGAGCAGAGACAGAGGGAGACGCAGAATCTGAAGCAGACTCCAGGCTCTGAGCTGTCAGCACAGAGCCCGACGCGGGGCTCGAACCCACAAACCGTGAGATCGTGACCTGAGCCGACGTTGCATGTTCAACCGCCCTTAGATCGTGTTGTTTTTAAAAAGAGGCGTGTGTAAGCATATACCTCAGGTGGAGCCGTCATTTCGGTGCCGAGCCCCACCTCCGCTCTCTCTCATCTACTCAGCAGGCTGTGACATTAATGTCTCACCGGGCAACTAACGCCCAGGGGCCAATCTCCGGTTCGGTCCTCAAGCACTGGTTTAGGCTTAGTTCTTTCGGGAAGGTGTTCACTTCCTGATCTGAACTGAGAAAAAACACTGGCCACCGCTAGGACCGGGTAAATAAGTCATCTACAAATCGGCAAAACCAAAGCAAAACATTCTCACACTCCCAGACGTGCTTTGACAATTGCAAGACAACTTCAGAGCATTCGAGAGCTTCACCTGCTACCAGTCTGTAGCCGCCAGACTCACAAAGGCTAAGAATAATCGTAGCGCTTGACCCCGCGGTGAACGCGCGGTGAGTGTAAACACGGATGCGACCTTTCGGGAAAGCAATTTGGGAACGGGTGTCAGGCCCGTCACACATG